GTGTCCCCATTCACTTCCTGCTGCCTGTGGGTCAAGATGTAGAACTCTCAGCTCCTTCTCCAGCACCATGTCTGTCTGCATGCCACCATGGACTAAACCTCTGAAACTGTAAGTCACCCAATTAAATGTTTTCCTTTGTAAGAGTTGCTGTAGTCCAGAATGGGGGTGAGGGGAGGGAGAGGGAGAAGGGACTTAATGTGAAACAAGTTTGTTCCCTAACTAGAACTAATAAATAAAAAAGAAAATTTAACAGCTATATGCATGCTCATTTCCTTGTTCCATAATATTTAACTGACTTGGCTACTCTGGAATTGGGAAACACTTCATTACACAAAATAGATTAGGTGATCTCTAGATGATGTCTTACAAAATATCTGGGCACTCCAGTCCAGCAAAATTGACATAAAACTAACCATGATGCTAAGCTTTGCAAATGCTTACTCCCTCTGTGCACTGATGCAAGCATTACAGTCCCATGAGAAAGTCTCATTACTTCTATTGTAGTGGTACTTATTTGTCCAGACTGCCAGCCCACAAAAAAAATGACTTATGAATTATGAAAGCCCGCCCTTAGTTTAGGTTTGTCCCACTAGCTTTTATAACTTAAATTAATCCATTTATATTAATCTACATCCTGCCGTGTGGTGTTACCTCAGCTCCATACTGCCCATCCTGCTTCCTCCGAGTCTGGCTGGTGACTCTGCCTTTGTTCTTCTCAGAATTCTCTCTCTGTTCAGAAGTCCCATCTATACCTCCTGGCTAGCAATTGGCCATTCAGCTTTTTAATTATACCAATCATACATCTTCACACAATGTACAAATATACCACAACAGTCAACCTCATTTTACTAGACAAAGTACAGAAAGGTTAAGCAACTTGCTTGAGCTCATACTGCTTGTAGATAGTTCACACTGGAACTTGCATACTGACTCTTAAATATTGTACTATTCCCTTCTCAAAAGAATGAAAACCGAACTCATTAGCTATTTGTGTTCTTCTGTCTATCCCTGTAAGCATCCTTGCCCTACCACTAATGGCATGTATCACATGTCAACTTTTACACTTCCCACAGTAGCCTTGATACAGTCAGCCTCATCCTACTTTTCCAGATAAGGAGATTTTGACACACTAAGAAGGAGTGATTTGCTGCAGGCTTCAGTGTGGAACAGAGAGGATTTGAAACCTGGCTCAGTCTCTAAAGCTCATTTCTTCTGTCTCTCTGTGCATGGTTATTGATGCCAAATATTGAAAACATGTTCCTGATAGTATGTTTTATAGATCTTGAATTAGTTTAGACGAAGTCGGCTTTCTGTTATGATGGGTCTCTCCCATAAAGAGATCATACAAAGAGCATTATTTTCAGACCACGTTATGCCTCCAGAAAGAATGGAGGGGAGGAGGAGGAGGGAAAGGAGAAAGAAGGACAGAGTGGGAGAGGGGAGAGAGAAAACTACACCACACAGCAGTTCTCAACCTGCAGGTCGTTAACCCCTCTGGGTGTCTAATGACTTCTCTCAGGAGTTGCCTAAGACCCTTGGAAAACAGAGATATTTACATTACTACTCATAACAGTAGCAAACTTACAATTATGAAGAAGCAATGAAAATAATTTATGGTTGTGGGGGTCACCAAACATGAGGAACTGTATTAAAGGTTCACACAGCATTAGGAAGGTTGAGAATTACTGACGTATTAAGAATGGCTGTATTTAGTAAAATCGAGAAGATAAAGGCTTACTGTTATTGAAGCACTAAAATAGGAGAAATAAGCAATTGGTTTCAGCTAGAGTAGAATATAAACCATGCCTGTGAGATGAGTTTAACCAGATTTGCCTTCTGTAAAGCTCTTTTCTTAGAAAAGGAGGTACAAACCACAAATGGCCGGCTTTGCAATTGGCTTGTTACACTGGAGTTAGGTAAGGTTACCTTTAGCCTGTTTTGAAGTGACAGATGTAAAAAGCTGTATGCCACAAGGCTGTTTCCCTTGGAGCCCAAGAGAAGGCAGAGTATACTGTGAGCTTACTGTGGATAAGGGTCATAGTGACCTAATGTTTGCCTCCTCCTCCTAAGCTCTCTGATAAGGTTCTTGTGTTATGAGGTAAAGTCTGTCCAGAGTTACTATGAAGGATCAGAGCCTGGGTGTGCATTTGCACACAGAAATTCCCTCCCTATTAAATTCCCTTGTATTTTTACCTGGCTCCGTATTGGTAATTTCCCACATTACAGTCCCCAAGAGAAAAGGGGATCTGCTGAGACCACAGATTGCTATAGGCCACATTTACGCCTATTCACACAGCACACAACCATCAGCCCTAAAACAGGCAGCAACTATCACCTGGGAGTCTATAAAAGAAAAGCCAGGCTGTACCAAGGCTTCAGAATGAGATGGCATTGCTTCTGCAACTCTGGAGGAAGGATATAAAGGATGCTCTAGAGAGAACAGCACTGGGTAGCACTGCACACTGAATATGAGTTCAGGGTCATTACACCTCTTAGAAGAAAATACATAATACAGCAGTTGACAGCATGACTGATGAAGAAACATTGCCTGTTTAAGTGCCAGTTTAACCACTTACAAACTAAGTGTCTCAGGTCACCTTCTCAGCTTCTTCATCCAGTTTCCTTAATCACAATACAAATAATAATAGTTATTTTTTCTTTCTGTTTTAAAAAATATTATTTCTAATTATGTCTATGGGTTTGGTCTGTGTGAAGGTATGTGCACATGAGCTGGTGGTATCCTTGGAAGCATTGGACCCCCTGTTATTACTGGTCATAAGCTGCCCTACATGGGTACTGGGAATCAAGCTAGGGTATTCTGGAAGAGTCATATGAGTTCTTAAATGCTGAGTCATCTCCAGCCCTCTTTCTAGTTTTTGTTTCTAGGGATTGAACTGAAGGCATTGTGCATGGTAGGCACTAACTATAATAGTTCCAAACTGGAAACTACTTCAATATCCATCGTAAAAACAAATTCATCCATTATGATAAAAATGCAAATTATGAAATTGCATAATTGAAAATTACGAAGACCTGAACTTGTACAGAAATATGGAAGAATCTTACAAATACATTGTTGAACCAAAGAAGTCAAACAAAAAGAGAATTCATAGGTTATGGTTTAAAACTACATATCACGAGTAGAAGACAAAATTAATCTACTATGTTAAAAGTCAGCATAGAAGTTGCCCCTGGAAGGAAACAATAACTACATGGCAGGGTAGAGGGTTCCTAGGTGCTTAATAACATTGTTTCTTGATCTGGAGTTAGATACAATGACAGGCTTCGGGTTGTGAGGATCTCTTGAGCCACATGCAATATGACTTTTGCTGTATGTATCTAGATCCAGTAACAAACAATTCCAAGAGTTTCTGAAACTTAACTCTACCCAAAGTAATCCTTAAGTCATCATTAGAGTTTGTGAGTTCTCAACATGAACATCACTGTCTAAATAGATCAGTATAAAATGCACTAGCCAACACAGCGTCATCATTTATTTTAAGAAGATTTTTAATTAAAACTTTCTCACACAGTGTATTTTGGGCACATTCTTTCCCCTCCTACAAACAATTCCTCTCGGATCCTCCCCACTTCCCTACCCACCCAACTTCATGCTCTCTCTCTCTCTCTCTCTCTCTCTCTCTCTCTCTCTCTCTCTCTCTCTCTATCCCTCCCTCTCCCCCTCTCTCCCTCCCACTCTTTTGCACACACACCGAAACAAACAAACAAACAAAAAATCAAAACACAAAGAGTCCAATTAAGACTAAAAATATCAAAACAAAATGTACACACCCAAAAACATTGCGTCTGTTTCTTGCCGGCTAACACTCCTGTGCCTGGGATCTGCCCTGAAGTGTGGTAATACAGTTCTACCGGTATCTGCTGTTGCCTTCTTGTTAGAACCGTGAGTACTTGTTCCAGCGGACTCAGATCCCTGTGTAAAATCTGCTCCCCAGTGTTCGCAATCCACACCTCAGCTGTTCCCTCTCTAGACATGCTTTATTTTTGACTCATTTGTTTGTTTGTTGGCTGGCTTCCACTTCTTCCTTACTTGGCCAAAGATTCTAAGGGCACTTATGTGACTACCCGAGGGATTTTAGACCTCCAGGTCCTAGGCAATGCTTCTTTCACAAAGATGGAAATCCTTACGGCATGCAGGACAATTGTAAGCCATCCCGAGATGCCTGTTAGTGCTGCCTGAAGAACACTGTTCTGAGATTTGTCAAAGAAAGAGCAAGAAAACTGGAAGACAAACAAGCGTTATACACAAGCAAAGCGTGGCTGTCTGGTTTTCGATTTCTTGGGTCATAGCCAAGATATCTCTGGCCGAAGCAACACTCCCTCCTCCTGTGGCTGGCAAAGAACAAGGTCCCTGGCACCTCTGATCCGAAGCCACCGCGGAAAGGCGGGGCGCCATGTCGAGCAGCTACTGGTCCAATTTACCGTCGCTCGGCAATGCTCAGTTGGCAATCTGAGAGGTCAAACTGCCCGTGCAGGAGGCTCGTTCCCATCTAGATCTATGATTGGCTGAGATTGAGGGACGGCATGGAGCCTTGCAGAGCATCAACTGGTCGGAGTTGCCGTCAATCATCTAGAGCAGACTCCACCCGGTCTCCATTTGGCCAGCAGCTGAAAAAAATTTCGAGCATTTACGGAGAGGAGATTGTGGCTTCTCTAATTGCTCGCTCTAGAGATCGGAATCTACAAGAGAAGTCAGTCTTATTTATCATCCGAGAAAACCTCCCTTTCCTTCCATTAGCCAATTAAGAAATTTACAGACATATAGCCATCACGAGGTAAGAGCCTGAAGAGTTCAATTCGCTCATTCCCCTAGGTTGTTGACGAGTATCTATTGGCGGCCCTCGGAATGGAGCACTAAGGGAGGATCCAGGAAGGCGGAGAAATATGGAATGGGTCCCCGCAGCTTCCTCCATCTGAGGCCGAGCCCCACGCGCATCTCTCCGAGCTAGTGTGCGAAGTGGAGAGCAGCTGCTCCCGCCGAGGCCCACGGCGGCTGCGCCCCGGCATCCGCTCCGCAGACGCACCCGAGGTCGGCCTTGAACTTGACCTCAGACTGGAAGTGAGCGCCGCGGGAGCGGGGCTGGTAGGATGGGCAGGGTCGATGGGAGGAACAGAAAAAGAGGGCAAAACCAAAGCCACCCTGGATTTCCTGCAGCGAACCCCCC